CCTGCCGGGGATGCCCGCCCCCCAACCCAGCGGCGGCCGAGCCCCGGTGCCCGCCCTGCCCCGCCCGGTCCACACCGGCGCTATGCCTGGCAGAGGGCACAGCCGCACTTGGTGGGCTTCTCCACCTCCTCCGCAAAAGAGGTCCCGTCGCTGCACTCAAAGGTGAACTTCCTCCGCTTCAGCCGCAGGCCCCGGCAGCAGCCCTGGCCCGGGCACGAGCCCCGGCACTCCACCCACGACAGCGGGCGCGTGGTCTGGCAGATGGCATAGCCCCTCTGGACCTGGTGAAAGTCCCGGACAGGGTCCCCCCGGCACTCGGACTCTGGATGGGACAGACACCAAGAGAAAGCCTCAGGGCACACCCACTGGTGGCCAGCACTGCCCGGGGCAGGAGGAGGAGGGCAGGCGGCCTGGCCTTGTGTGCAGCCCGGGCACCCTCCCTCCTCTGGCATGCACACACACAGCGCTTCCTCCTGGCGCCTGCGGTGGGGCCAGCAGCAGGAGGGCGGGCAGGGGGTGGGCTGCAGGCCAGGTGGGGCTCCCGGACTGGGTGTGCAGGAAGGGACGGGGTAATGCCATTGGAAAGGCAGGCAGTGGGAAGGCGAGGACTGGGCCAGCCCTGGGGGCCTGCGCTCTGGATTTCACTTCCCCCATCTGCCTCAGCAGCCTGCCGGCCGGTAGAAGCCCCTTGGTCAAGCCAACCAGGGAGGGCCTGGGAAGGGGTCCCCAGCCCTTCCTGCTGCTTCCAGGTCCTGAGGTGCTGGAGCCCAGACGTGAAGGCTTGGCCAGAAGGAGCCCCAGGATGGCCTCTCTGTAAGGGGAGGCCCCAGATAAGGGAGCCAGAGCCACTGGCCAGAAGGAGGCAGGAGGGCTGGGCTCCTCGCAGGACAGGAGGGACCCAAGGCCCATCAGCTGCCAAAGGAGGACCGGGCACCAGGGCTGCTGAGTGTGGGGTGTAGTCCAGCTGCCAAGGCAGGTAGTTGGGAGGGTCCCTGGAGAGGGTGCATCAGGAGGGGGGCCCCTGACCTTGCTCACACAGCTCGCCCGAAAAGCCAGGGTCACACACACAGTGGGCCCCCGTGGTGGCCGAGGCCTGGCAGTGGCCCTGCAAGCACTGCAGGCCCCCACAAGGGTCTCCCGGTGCCCCGGCCTGGTTGCACAGGGCCCCCGAGTACCCCTCCTGGCACTGGCAGCTGTAGGAAAGAGCATCGAGGGGCACACAGTTCCCATGGACACACCTGGGGGACAGAGAAAAGGCAACTTGAGAACAGGTCTTCCCAAAGCCACCGGGTCCCGCGCCTCCCAGCCTGGACTTCAGGGGACTTTATCCTGGTGCCAGCATTTCACCAGAGGGAGCAACGTGGGTTCTGCTGGTCCCCATGGCCCTCCAGTGGGCAATGGGAACAGAAAGCCAGGTAAGCATGCCAAAAGGGGCGTGGGCCCTAAGAGGGGACAGAGGGCCTGGGGAGGTGGAGCTGGCGGAAAGGGCAGGTGGGCAGGGGCGAGGCTCACTTGTGGCCATGGCAGGGGCCGTCGGCTGGCTGGTCGCAGTGCAGGCCCCCCCAGCCGGCCTCGCAGTGGCACACAGGCCCCGGGCTGGCGCTGGGCTGGCAGATGCCGTGCAGGCAGTAGAGCTTGCGGCAGGGCTCGCAGCCCGGCACCACGCCCGGCTTCATCTGCGTCTTGGTGAAGTCCTGCAGCTCGTTGTTGATGTACAGGTTGCGGATGCAGCAGAGGAAGCTGGTTCCGTTGAGGATCTGCCACAGGCGGAAGGCGGCCGAGTTCACGTCCACAGGCATCCCTGGTGAGGGTGGAGCTGGGCTGAGTCTGGCTCAGACCATGCCTGGCCGCCACCCCTGAGGTCCACAGGACAGCCCACGGTGTACACCCTTGCCCCGGCTCCGCCCTTCTGTCTCTGCCACCCTGGTGGGCCCCACAGGGGCCTGGGGCTCCTGCTCCTCAAGTCTGCCGCCCTCACCCAGGGCTCCTTCCTTCCCTCTGGAGACCCAGCGGCATGTGGCCCTTGCCACCCGCCATGATCCTCCGAGGTGGGTGATAAACCCACGTGACGACAGGCTCAGTGAGTTGCTTGAAGTTGACAGCAGGTAGCAGAGCCGGGATTAGAACTCAGGGGCTCCACCTTCACATCACCATTCAACTGAACTATTTTGGCTGAAAACGGCTGCTGTACTTCCACACTTGGATTCCCTTGGATAAGCAGTGTTAGGCTGTTTTCCTGAGCTGGTTGCTAAGTTACAGCCAACCATGCTGACCACGCGTCAGTCGATCACAGAAAGCCCGCCTTTTGGGCTGTCTGTGCTGCCCTACCGTCCACCTGTAATCAAGCCAACTGTCAGTTTCCCTTTTCGGAACTTAGATACGGAATTGAGCACAAGGCTAGCCGGAGTTGTCTGGAAGTCTGGGACAACTGCCCGATTTAAACTGTGTTAATATTTGCTCAATTAAAACTCTACTTTATTGGGGACCAGCAGGTGGCTTGGTGGTTAAGGCGCTGGACACTCCCACATGGCCAACCATGGTTCGAGTCCTGGGCCTGATGGCTTACTTTCTCACTTTCCCTCTCTCTCTGTCTCTAGTCAAATTAATATAAATAAATGAATATAAATGAACGCTGAAATGGCCCTGCGGCACCCCACAGCCTGCCCCCAGAAACCCTTGCAGTCAGGGGCAGGGCCCTCGAGCCTGCAGAGCCCGTAAGGCCAGTCGGCACCCAGCTGATGGAGTGCTGGACGCGGGTCTCCTGCAGCCAGTCTGGGCCCTCATGAGGGGTCTCAGAAGCTCCTTCTGGCCCAGCGCCAGAAAAGAAGCACCCACACGGAAGACAGGGCCTGCCCAGCCCAGATGCCCACCCTTCTTGGTCAGTCTTGGCTGGGCAGGGGCAGCCTGAGCTCCGGATGGGGAGGACAACCCACCAGCAGCTTGGCCAGTCATTAGGGTCACCCTCTGCCCCCAGTTACAGGCCCTGGGCACCAGCTTTCTAGGTCAGCCTCAGGCCAGAGAGCAGAGGGGGCTGTCAGCACGGCCTGAGAAAGGGCACCGGGGCCGCCCGCCAGCCGGGCTCTCACCGCCCACGTAGAGGGGGGCCTCGCTGTTGAGTGTGTAGTGCTTGCCGAAGCTGCCCATGGTCAGGGGGCTGCCGCCGTCGATGGAGAGGTTCACCATCTGGTCGAAGGCGACCAGCTCCACAGTGTGGAACTGCCCATCGTTGATGGTCTCGGCACTGGAGGGAGACAGGGCGCCCCGGGGTGGGCTTCAGTCTGGCCCACCCGCCCTGGACACCTCCCCAGAGAGGCCACTGTTCCAGTGGCTGCTTCCCAGGGCACTGAATCTCTAAGAGAGGGACTTTGGGGCTCAGTTTCCCGTTGCCTGTGGTCCCAACCCCCTCTTCTTGGGGCTCCCTAGGGAAGCTGCGAAGTTCGGAGCAGGGACCTCCAACTTATGAGTCTCCCCTTGTCCATTAAGGAGTCCCCTCCCTCGTAGGGGGACAGGGAAGGATGGGGCCACCGCTCAGGCCTCAGAGGGCCTCAGACCCACACTAGGCGGGGCCCGAGGGTTCAGGTGCCCTTTCCTCTTGGGCAGCCCGGGATTCCAACAGTCCTGAAAACCTCCTGCCTTGGCCCAGTGCCCCACCCGACGTGGCTGGGGGGCACCGGGAAGCCCCACCTGTAGATGGCAGAGCTGGGGTGGCTGCCTGGGTCGTAGCTGACACGCACGTGGCCCTGGTGCAGCTCAACTGCAATGTGGTCGCTGTCCCCGTTGTATAGCAGGATCCCGTTGTCCTCTGCCGTGGAGACCTGATGGGCAACGGCACTTTCTCTCCCACCCCACCCGGCGCAGCGGCAGCACAGGATGGTCGGTGGGGCAGACGGGGGCCCGGGACTGGAAGTGGGATGCTAGCGTAGAACTGTCCTCCTTTGCCTGACCCGGGCGCTGTTCCTCTGGGGAGTACTGACAGGCTGGCAGACCTGGCTCAAAGACCATCCCCTGGGGCCGGCCAGAGCCAGGCGGGGAGGGCGGATGGGCAGCTGAGGCCGGTGTGAACTACGTGCCAGGAGGAGCAGGGAAGAGCCTTGGGGTGATCTGCCCAGATACGAAAAGTTCAACATGACCACTGTCTCCTGGATGTGGGGAGCCCTGCTCTGTGGGCCGCAGGGCCTGGCTGCTCAGTGTGGGTGACAGCCAGGCCAAGTCCAGGAAGGCTCTCCCACAGCCACAGCCTTCCAAACCAGGAAGGAGCCACCCGGGAGGGAGCGCCTGTCACTGGAACCATACGAGCGAATCTTGGAGTTTTGCCTCAGGAAGGAGATGGCTCTAAGAGGCTGTAGAAGCCACGATCATTCGTAGTCTGCCTTGTCCCTCTTGTCCCCTTTTTTTCCAGTAAAGACCTTGATCCTCCGGTCAGCAGAGGTAGGCACTTGACTCAGGTTGACCAATCATATTACCCTATCCACTTGGACTCACTGATTGGTCCAGGGGTGGGCATATGACGGAGCCGGGCCAATCAGAGCCTTCCCTGATTGTCTAATTAGAGTGGGGAAGGAAGAGTCCCTCCGCGGGGGGCAGTCAGGGGAAGCTGGCAGTGGCCGAGGCGGTGCTGGTCAGGGTTCCGGGGAGCTGTGTGCTGCTGAGTTAGACTAGCCGTTGTCTCGCTACGTGGACAATGTAAGTGGACAGGATTTTGAAGAGGTGATACAGGGGAGGGGAGCAGAATGAGCAGGTTTGAGAGGCTGAAGGGTTCTGAGAAAAACAGAAGAGGACAAAAGAAAGGGGGAAAAGAAAGATGTGGCATTTGTGAAAGGGAATGGAACTGGGGGGAGGAAAGATGGCGACGGAGGAGCTTCCATTCTTATCATGTGATGTGCGACAGAATCCACTCTCCTCTCCCTCACCAAGCCACACTTAGCAAAATTAGCGATTTCCTAGCAAAACAGCTCTATTTCCACGAATGCTGTTGAAGAGGGACTTGTCTTTTCCCCTTCTCAATGGGACGCTGTTCTGAGGTGGAACGGCAGATGTGACAGTGACAATCGAAGGGGCCCAGGGACATGTGGTTGAAGCCCTGCACCCAGCGTGAACCTGGCCACGCTCCAGCCACAGGGGGCAGAAGCTGAGGAGTGGCTGAGACAGAGATGGTGGGCGGGGGTCCTGGAAAGTGTGGTTTTCTGGGTGCAGTCAGCCACGGCCCCCCTCCACCCTGCCCTGGCTTTGTGGACCAATAACCTTTCCCATTGTGGTTAAACTCATCCGAGCCGAGACCCTGACACCCACATCCAAGGAGCTTTGATGAGAATCCTTCTCCTTGCCCTGGCCAGGGGAGGCTGTTAATGCTCTGACTTGAGCCCAGGACCCCCGCCCCACACCTCCCCTCTGTGACCAGGCCCCCTGGGTACGCACCTGCAGTGTGATGTTGGCCCGCGGCCAGTTCTGCAGGTCAGTGAACTGCAGGTAGGTGTCCCGATCCACGAAGTTGACACTGAGCAACTTCTCACACTCAGGGCCGCCAAAGCCTGGGAGGCACTGGCATACAGGCTGGCTGCCCTGGTCGACACAGTTGGCCCCATTCTGGCACTCGGTCCCCTCACAGGGGCTTCTGGGGGCAGGCGGGTGGGGCGGTATCTCACAGAGCTGTCCACTGAGAGGAAAGGACACAGGTCAGAGAGGGCCGAGCCAAGGGCCTGGAGAGAGACACACTGAATACCTTGGGGAAAATGGACCTTTTTGTTTTTTTTAAAGAATTATTTATTCGATTTTATGTATTATTATTATTTTTTAATTTGACCAGAGAGAGAAAGTGAGAAAGCAAACCACCAGATCTAGGACTAGAACCACAGTTTGTTATGTGGGAGTCCAGCACCTTAGCCACCATGCCATCTGCTGGCACCAGGGAAAATGGATCTTTGAAGTGAAGGTGCTCCTGGCCCAGCAGGTGGCATGGTGGTTAAGGTGCTAGACTCCCACGTGGCTGACTACGGTTTGAGTCCTGGACCTGGAAGTTTGCTTGCTCTCTCTCTCTCACACACACATCAAATTGAATAATAAAAATAAATAAATAAAATTAAACAAATAGTTCTTTAAAGTGAAGATGCTCCTAATGAACTCCCCAAGTGAACTGAGGGCCAGAAGGTGAAAAACAGGTGCGGTCCCTGGTGTGGTAGCAGCAAAACTGCCTGGGTGCTTGTCAGAGTGGAAAAATCTCTGGAATTGCTTTTTTCTTTTTGTTTTTAAAATATGCTATAGAGTGCATGCACTTGCCAGAGAGAGAGAAAGAGAGGAAGCAACCTCCAGGGGGAGTGGCCACACCAAAGGCTTTTCTCCCCATTCTCCTGGGATTGTGAGTATGCACATATGTGTGCCTAGTGTGCTTTCAAGCCCCCAGGACCAGGACTCGAACCAGTCAGTCAGCCATGTGGGATCCAACCTTTACCATGTCACCCTACACCCTGGCTAAACCCTCTTCTTTCTAACCAGATCCCAGGTTATTCACGTGTGCATTAAAGTTGGAGAAGCACTCGCTGCTCATGTCAGTGACTGCAAGGCAGGTTTTACTACACCCATGGTACAGAAATGGAAACTGAGACTTAGGACACAAGCAGAAAGGACAGACTCAAATTACTAAAATCAGAAATAAGAGATGTTACTATCCACCTTATAAAAATGAAGAATTGTAAGAGGATACTATAAACAACTGCATGCCAACCAATTAGATAAAATAGATGAAACGAACAAATTCCTAGAAACACACAAACTACCAAAACCAACTCAAGAAAAAACAGAAAATAAATAGATCCATAGTAAGTATTAAAGTAAATTAGTAATAAGGAAATTTCCCATGGGACCAGCAGGTGGCATAGTGGTTAAGGTGCTGGACTCCCACATGGCCAACCACAGTTCGAGTCTTGGACCTGGTAGCTTGCTTTCTCGCTTTCTCTCTCCCATTATTCAAATTAAAAAAAAAAAAAAAAAAAAAAAAATCAAAATTAAAAAAAAAAAAAAAAAAGAAAATTTCCCAGACCCAGGTGGTTTTACTACTGAATTCTCCCAAACATTTAAAGAAGAATTAACACCAAGTCTTCACAAGCTCTTCCAAAAAATAAAAAAGTAGGAAACCCTTTCTAACTTATCCTACAAGGCTGGCATTAATCTTTAAACCAAAACAGACAGAGACATCACAGAGAAGAAAATGACAGACCAATCTCTCTTATGAAAATATGCACCACGATCCTCAACAAAATCCAGCATGAAAACAATATTACACGTAACCAAGTGGGTTTTACCCCAAGAATGCAAGGCTAGTTTAACATCTGAAAATTATTAGTAGCATACATCATTATCAATAGAATGGAAAAAAAAATCACAAGATCATCTCAACAAATGCAGAAAAAGAATTAGACAAACTATAAAAACTGTAACATTCCTTCATGAAAAAACACTTGGCAAGGGGCTAGCAGGTGGAGTGGTGGTTAAGGTGCCGGATTCCCTCATGGCCAGCCGCAGTTCAAGTTCTGGACCCTGTGGCTTGAAATGACAACAAATAAATAGATAAATAAATGTTAAAAAACAAAACTTGACAAATCAGGGACAGAAGTGAACTTCATCGAGCTGATATAGGGCACCTAAGAAACCACCCGACTAACATCTTACTTAATGGTGAAAGAGTGAATGCCTTTCCACCATGATTAGAGACAAAACAAGGACCCTTGCTCTCACCATTTCTGTTCGATTTGGTAGTGGGGGTTTTAGCCAGGTCAGTTAGGCAAAGAAAAAAGAGAGAGCGAGAGAGAAGGGAAGATGGGAGAAAAATGCATCCAGACTGGAAAAAGAAGTGACTTGTCTCAAATGATATGATCTTGTAATAAATAAATAAATAAATTCTATGGCATCCACTGAAATGCTATTAAAACTAGTAAAAGAATTCAGCAAGGTTGCAGGATATAAGAGTAATACACAAAAATCAAACCAGAAAGAAATGCAGAAAATTTCTTTTATGATGGCATCAAACAGAACAGAAGACTTCTGGATACCACAAGAACAGGGTCTGAATCCTTGTCAGTGCAGCTTCATGCCAGGCTCGTGCGACAACCCTGACAATCCAGGAGGAGAAAGAGTCACAGCCTCCGCCCTTACCACAGGGCTCTCTCGCACACGCTCTTGCTCTCTGGTATAGCTGTGTGCTCGATGTCATGAATAAAAATCGGTAAAACTACAACGTAGGACGGTACACTGCTGGGCGAATGTACACTGGCATGGCCACTGGAAAGCCACCGGCCGCTCCCTGCAGTCACACACGGAGTTACCACGTGACCGGCAGATCCTGTCCCAGCTCTGTATCTGAGAACTGGACATGTGAGTCCACACGAGAACCTGTGCGTGAGTGTTTACTGCATCAGTGTTCCTTTTTTTAGGTTTTTGTTATAGGGTGTGTGAATTCACCAGAGAGACAGAGAGAGGAAAACGAGAAATCTCCCGCAGGGGAGGATGACACCACTATTCCTTCTCCTCCATTCTCCTGGGGTTTGGGCATGCAGCCGACATGAGTTTCAAACTGTCAGGTCTGGGACTCTAACCGCAGTCAGCCATGTGGTGCACCCCAACCACCACGCCGTCTGCTGGCCCCACATCAGTGTTCTTAGTAGCTAAAAAGAGAAATAACCTAAACACCTATGGCGACCCATGAAGAGACAAATAAAATGTGGCCTCTCCAAACCATGGAGCATTGTTCGGCTAAGGAAGGAACACAGCGGTGACAGCCAGCGACGTGGATGGACCCTGAACAGCATGGCGAGTGAAAGAAGTCTGCCACAGAAGTAGGCTGCGCGACTCCCAGAACGGGGAGCTCTGTGAACGCGGGTGTTTGCAGACTAGTAGCTGCTCAGAGGTGGGAGGGAGGAGGGGCTGGGTGAGGCGAGTGGGGCTTCCTCTCAGGGTAATGAACATGCTTTAAAATTGATTGTGGTGATGGGCGTCCACATCTTTGGGAAGACACTAGAATCCATTGAACTTTAACTGGGAAAACTCTATGTTATGTGAATTGTATCTCAAGAAAGCTGTTTTTAAAAATGACACAAATAGGACCAGCAGGTGGCATGGTAATTGAGGCACTGGACTCTCATGTGACCAACCACGGTTCTAGTCCTGGACCTGGAGACTTGCTTTCTCACTTTTCCTCTCTGTCTCTCTCTGCCCTATAGCAAACTTAATAAAAATGACACAAGCAGAGCATGAGAGGAGCTCCTCCAGCCTCCCAAGGAAGCTGGGTGGGAAGGGTCCCACCTTGCATGGCAGCACATGTCTTCATAGGAGAGGTCTGTCCAGGCAGGTGCATGACAGGTAAGTGGGTTTCTCTGTAACCTGTGCCCGTCCCTCCCACCACACTGGTCAGGGACCCTCTACCCACCCCAGCCACACGGATGCACGGCTGGTCATTGACAGAGCCATGGTTACAAAC